CTGTGTGTTTGTTAGATCATATACTCCCTGGTGCCAGCTTACCAGACGAATTGCCTTCCATAAGTTCATCTTTTTTGAGGGACAGGGATGGGCATTCTGAAGAGCTGGAATTTTTTTCTGTCAAGTAAACTAACACAGTGTGCTCTGTCCCTGAATTAAGAGTTTTCTGGCCTGGTTTGTTTAGACAGGAATTTAACTAGTGGAATAATTGTGTCATGGGCAGATCCATATTGTAATTGAAAGCAACTCAGATTACAGAAAAGGAGTGCCCCCAGGCATGATCCATAAGCAAAGAGGTCAGAAACAAACAAGTCAAAAGTTTCAAGTATCAGAAATCTCCTTAGGTCACATGCAACTTACTCATTTATTTCTGTCCATTCTGATATGGGAATTTTATGAGAAAGCTCTCTATTAATAATTAATTCAGGTTTCCTGACTGACTTCTTTCTCTTGTAGCCTTTCCACCAGGTTTGGCACTGTAGCTGTTCCTAATATTTTGTTATTTCAAGGAGCTAAACCAATGGCTAGATTTAATCATACAGATCGAACATTGGAAACACTGAAAATCTTCATTTTTAATCAGACAGGTATGTGGAAGTAATGTGCTGAGGAAGGAGGTATTCTGTTGCTGGGGGGGGTCTATGCCTTTTGTGGGTTCTGATCTGCTATAATCCTTAATTGAACGATTCAAGAGTGACTTTGAGTTGTAAAACTTCTCTTCTAATGAACTGTTATAATCCTTCTAATGACTGTTAAATACTTCCCAATCAGTGTGAAGCTTAACATGAATAGGTAATTTAAATTATTATGGATATATACTTTTTCCTTTTTTTTGAGGCAGGGTTTCACTCTATTGCCCAGGCTGGAGGGCAGTGGAATGATCTTGGCTCACTGCAGCCTCTGCCTCTTCGGTTCAAGTGATTCTCGTGCCTCAGCCTCCCGAATAGTTGGGATTACAGGTGTGCACCACCTTGCCCAGCTAATTTTTGTATTTTTAGTAGAGATGGGGTTTCACCATGTTGGCCAGGATGGTCTCGAACTCCTGGCCTCAAGTGATTCGCCTACCTCAGCCTCCCAAAGTGCTGGGATTACAGATCTGAGCCACTGCGCCCGGTCTATTGTTGATACTTGATTGATTGATTTATTGATTGAGATGGAATCTTGCTCTGTCACCCAGGCTGGAGTACAGTGGCACAATCTCGGCTCATTGCAACCTCTGCCTCCTGGGTTCAAGTGATTCTTTTGCCTCAGCCTTCCCAGTAGCTGGGATCACTTGAGCCACTATGCCTGGCCTATTATAGATATTTTAAAACAAGTTTTTAATCCCAGCACTTTGGGAGGCCGAGGCGGGTGGATCACGAGGTCAAGAGATCGAGACCATCCTGGTCAACATGGTGAAACCCCGTCGCTACTGAAAAAAAAAAAAACACAAAAAATTAGCTGGGCATGGTGGCATGTGCCTGTAATCCCAGCTACTCAGGAGGCTGAGGCAGGAGAATTGCCTGAACCCAGGAGGCGGAGGTTGCGGTGAGCCGAAGGTTGCGGTGAGCCGAGATCGTGCCATTGCACTCCAGCCTGAGTAACAAGAGCAAAACTCCGTCTCAAAAAAAAAAAAAACAAGTTTTACTGAAATATAATTCACATACCATACACTTTACATATATGTAATATGTAATATATATGTAAAGTGTATGGTATGTGAATTATATTTAGTATGGTATAATATATTATATAACATATTATTATATTTTTAGTAGAGATGGGGTTTCACCATGTTGACTAGGATGGTCTCAAACTCCTGGCCTCAAGTGATTCGCCTACCTCAGCTTCCCAAAGTGCTGGGATTACAGATGTGAGCCACTGTGCCCAGTCTATTATTAATACTTGATTGATTGATTGAAAATAATACATCATATAATATTATACAATATATGTGGTATATTATATATATTACATATATTATGTATAATATATGTAATATATTATGTAATTTATAATGTAATTTATATATGTATTACATGTAATATATATTAGACCTAATATATGTAATATATATGTAATTTATATATAATATATTACATGTAATATATATTAGACATAATATATGTAATATATATGTAATTTATATATATTACATGTAATATATATTAGACAATATATGTAATATATAATATATGTAATTTATATATATGACATGTAATATATAATATATATAATATATATATGACTTTTTACACACATTTTTCACTTAAGTTTAATGCTTACACAAAGATATGCATAAATCATGAGTGTACAGGGTGATGAATTTTCACAAAGTGAACACCCTGGGTAACTACTCTGATTAAGAAACAGAATAGTGGCTTATGCCTGTAATCCCAGTGCTTTGGGAAGTCTACGTGGGTAGATAACTTGAGGCCAGGAGTTTGAGACCAGCCTGGCCAATATGGTGAAACCCTGTCTCTACTAAAAATACAAAAACTAGCGGGGCATGGTGGCAGGCACCTGTAGTCCCAGCTACTCTGGAGGCTGAAGCTTAAGAATTGCTTGAGCCCAGGAGGCAGAGGCTGTAGTGAGCTGAGATTGTGGAACTATACTCCATCCTGGGTGACAGAGCAAGACTGTCTCAAAAAAACAAAAAAAAAAGAAAAGAAACAGAACATTATCAGCCTACCTTCAGCACCATTGCTCCTGCCTTCCCTGAAAGATAACCACAGTTTGACTCCTAATATCATAGACTGTGTTACTTGTTTTAGACTTCATAGTAGTGGAGACACACAGGATGTTTTCTTTTGTGTCTGTTTTTTTTTCATCCAGCTGTATGCTTTTGAGATGTACCTGTATATATGTATGATTATGTTTTGTTCATTTTCTTTGCTGCTACTGTTCTATTTATTAATCCATTTGTAGATGCTATCTTAATTTCTTCATATTTGCCAAAATGTATGGCCTTATTTTTTATTGTTTGTAAAAGTTTAAGCATTGTAAATTGAAAAAATTACCTCCATTGGAAAAGTTCATTGCTGTAAAGCCTCACTGTCTCAGTTATGAGCATCCCACTCTTCCCAAAGTGTACTCACTGGAAATAAATATAAATTGCAACACACAGTGCATATATATTAAGTTGCATATAATCATTTTAGCTAACATTAAAGAACAAAGAGCTGAGTTGGCTGATAGGAGCAAAAGTACGGTATTACCAGGTGGTTAGCTAGGAGAAGTCTGGTAGTGGATCCCTGATTGTCGTTTCAATTGATGTATGGAGGGAGCCCTTTTGTTCAGTGCTCTAACCAAACTTAAAACACAAATCTTGGAGTCAAAGCATCTGTGGTAATCCCTGTTCCTAGTGATGGCTTGTTATAGCAATTCTTTCAGTAAATTATTAAAAGCATTTTGGGGCCAGGTGTGGTGGCTCACGCCTATAATCCCAGTACTTTGGGAGGCCGAGGCGGGCAGATCAACTGAGGTCTGGATTTCAAGACCAGCCTGGCCAACATGGCAAAACTCCATCTCGACTAAAAATACAAAAAAATTAGCCGGACATGGTGGTGTGTGCCAGCTACTCAGGAGGCTGAGAATCATTTGAATTTAGGAGGTGGAGATTGCAGTGAGCCAAGATTGTGCCACTGCACTCCAGCCTGGGAGACAGAGCAGACCTCTATCTCAGGAAAAAAAAAAAAAAAAGCATTTTGAGTTTAGCATTACTTAGCCTGTGGAAACATTCTGTAGATTCCTGAGAGGAGTTTTACTAGTTACTTACTGAACTTTGGTCTCAAAAGACACCAAAAGGCAACTCTTATAAATACATTGGCTAAGAAACTGCTGATGAGTTCACAGCAATTCTAGTGTTTTAGTTGTGAACAGCTGAATGGATTCCTGATCCTTTGATGTGGTCGGGAGAAAGGCAATTTATAAATTACACTGACAGGCAAGTGAAATCCATCCCAGATATTAGTATGTATACTAGTGGCAGTGTTTAGTTTAGGACTGCATATCATTTTGCATACCATGCATAATACTTGAGAAAAATCTGTGGTGGGTGCTTTTTCTGTCTGATTTGAAACAATTGATTTTTCTTTCAGGTATAGAAGCCAAGAAGAATGTGGTGGTAACTCAAGCCGACCAAATAGGCCCTCTTCCCAGCACTTTGATAAAAAGTGTGGACTGGTTGCTTGTATTTTCCTTATTCTTTTTAATTAGTTTTATTATGTATGCTACCATTCGAACTGAGAGTATTCGGTGGCTAATTCCAGGACAAGAGCAGGAACATGTGGAGTAGTGATGGACTGAAAGAAGTTGGAAAGAGGAACTTCAATCCTTCATTTCAGAAATGAGTGCTGCATTTTCATACATTTTCTCCAGTCAAGTGTTGACTTGAAACTTCAGTCCAATTAAAAGAATCATACATTTGTTGAACTACTGAAAGTATAAAAAATTATAAACTGGTGTTTTAACTAGTATTGCATATAAGCAAATGCAAAAATATTCAATAGGGTGCATGATTCTTGTTTTTACTACATGAACGTAATCCAGTTTGAAATGTGAAGATGTATTCTGGTAAAATAGTGAGTAGAATGACATGTTTACTATACAGAAGGCAAAAATAGGATTCTCAGATTATAGTTTTAGGAAACCCTTGATCCCTTATATATGCTCAAGGTTAGTTTTCTGTTTTTTTGCAACTTTTTTTTCCAGAGTCTATAGCAGGAAAGTATGTAACTAGAGTTGGTTAGTGTGACCCCTCAAGTAGCAAGGGAAGGAAAATAAAAGAATCAAATGCCTTGATGTTTGTGATCTCTACTTTCACTAAAAAAATCTGAAGTGTTTTGTTTCTGGGTAAGGCAGACGTTAGGAGAAAGTAAATGCTGTAACTAAAGCTCAATTATTATCAGTTCTATGCTAATGTATATTTAGTCATAGTTATCTAACCAGTATGCATTAATTGAACCTTAAAATGTTCCTAGCAGGCCAGGCATGGTGGCTAATGCCTGTAATCCCAGCATTTTGGGAGGCTGAGGCAGGAGGAGGTTAAGAGTTTGAGGCACTTGAGGTTAAGAGTTCGAGACTGGCCTGGCCAACCTGGTGAAACCCTGTTTCTACTAAAAATACAAAAAATTAGCTGAGCATGGTGGTAGAGGCCTGTAATGCCAGCACTCAGGAAGCTGAGGCAGGAGAATTGCTTGAACCCAGGAGGTGGAGGTTGCAGTGAGCCAAGATCATGTCACTGCACTCCAGCCTGGGCAACAAGAGTGAAACTCTCTCTCTAAAAAAAAAAAAAAAAAAAAAAAAAAAAAAGTATAGAAGTATAAAACACTGTTCTTGCCCACAAGTTGATTTTAGTCTAGTTCAAGACACATTTAGTAAAGAGACAACATGTAATTTAAACAAATTTTTTGAAAACCTATTTCCAAAAGATCCCTTAAATTCAGATATGACAGCTAATTACCTCATGATACTTTTATACTAATCATTTCCCAGATTTTAGAGTAGTTGAACATTTATTTCATAAGGCACCCTAAATTCTATAGAAATAAAACTTCAGGCTAGGCATGATAGCTCACGCCTGTAATCCTAGCACTTTGGGAGGCTGAGATGGGTGGATCACCTCAGGTCAGGAATTCCAGACCAGCCTGACCAACATGGCGAAACCCCACCTCTACTAAATACAAAAAAATTAGTCAGGTCTGGTGGCATACAATTCCAGCTACTTGGGAGGATGAGGTAGGAGAGTTACTTGAATCCAGGAGGCGGAGATTGCAATGAGCTGAGATTGCACCATTGCACTCCAGCCTGGGCAACACGAGCAAAAGTCCATCTCAAAAGCAAGCAAAACAAAACCAAAACCTCAGAAAAGTCTCCTTCTCAGAGTGCTGTAATGAATGGGAGTTTGTAACGTTTATGTGTCATGTGAACAGCTGTGGTTGGGGTGGTCACTGGCAGGAGGTCACTACCATATCTCAGAATGGCACATTATTTCCATTTCACAATTGAGCACGCTGAGGCGTAGAGAGTTAGATAACTTGCCCAGGTTACACAGATTGTAAGTTGAAGCTGGGATTTGAATCTTCATGCGTATACTTATAAATACAAATGTAAGGAAAACTCTGGTGAGTCCATTTCTTATAATAACTAACATTTGAGTAATTACCGTAGAGTGCCAAGTACTGTTTTAGATGCTTTACGTAGACTATTTTGTTTAAATATCCTCATTTTAAAGAATAAACTGCCTGGGCACAGTAGCTCATGCCTATAATCTCAGCACTTTGGGAAGCTGAGGTTTGTGGATTGCTTGAGTCTTAGGAGTTCGAGATCAGCCTGGTTAACAAGGTGAAACCGTGTCTTTATTAAGAATACAAAAAAATTAGCTGGGCAGGGTGGTGTGCCCCTGTAGTGCCAGCTACTTGGGGTGCTGAGGTGGGAGAATCATCTGAGCCAAGGAAGATGAGGCTGCAGTGAGCTGTAATTGTGCCACTGTGCTCCAGCCTAGGCAATCAGAGTGAGACCGTCTCAAACAAAAAAAACCCTGAGGCTGTCATTAATTTGCTCTCATTCATGCAGCTTCCAGTGACTGGACCAGGCTTTAAATTTACTCCAAAATCTCTATGTGGGATGGCACCCTGCCCTGCCTCTGCACCATGGCCCAGCTACGTGGGATTCCTCTAGAGGGAAATGTGGAGCAGAGATTCCCTGGAGAGGGGGTTGAAGTATACAGAAGAGGATCAGTCTCGAAATGCTGGTACTGTCAGGTGCGGGGACTCGTGCCTGGAATCCTAGGATTGCTTCAGTGAGCTGTAACTGTGTCACTGCACTCCAGCCTGGGTGAGAGAGTGAGATCATGTCTCAAAACCCCAAAATCAGAAAAAACAACAACAACAACAACAAAAACACCAGTAGTGTTGAGGGAAAGTGAAAAGGGGAAGGAAGTGATCGACCAGCTAAACAGCTCAAGCTAAGTATGGCATCCACTACAGAGGATGTGGCCAGTAAATCTTTGCTGAGACTTAAATCCTATTAATTGGGGAGCTACATGTGAGGGGAGACAATTCACAGCCCCTATCAGTGGCCATCATTGCCCTGGGCCCTAGCACCTGCCATTTGTTTTTCGACTAGATATGAATGATCAAATTTATTTATTTTTTTGAGACGAAGTTTTGCTCTTGTTGCCCAAGCTGTTGTGCAGTGGCCCGATCTCAGCTCACTACAACCTCCGCCTCCCAGGTTCAAGGGATTTTCCTGCCTCAGTTTCCTCAGTAGCTGGGGCTACAGGCATGCACCACCATGCCCGACTAATTTTTGTATTTTTTGTAGAGATGGGGGTTTCACCATGTTGCCCAGCCTTGTCTCAAACTTTTGGGGTCAAGTGATCTGCCTGCTTCAGCCTCCTAAAGTACTGGGATTACAGGTGTGAGCCACCTCGCCTGGCCAGTGACTAGATCCGAGATGCCACAGTTTTCATACAGTCATAAGGAAAATGATGAAAGCAAATTTACTGAAAATAATAAAGGTTCACTTGTTAACTCACATCCACCAGTTCATTTTTCAGTTCTTCAATGAGAAAACTCTGAATTGTTTTCATGATCATAAACACTCAATGTAAATGTCAGAAATACAACTTTTAATTCGTTAGTGACATTTGATCAGGGCCCCCAGCGTGATTCCTCCCAAGTTTTGCTTTTGAAATGGTTACATCTTTTTTTTTTTTTGAGACAGAGTCTTGCTCTGTCGCCGCCAGGCTGGAGTGCAGTGGTGCGATCTTAGTTTACTGCAGCCTCCACCTCTCCGGTTCAAGCAATTCTCCTGCCTCAGTTTCCTCAGTAGCTGGGATTACAGGTATGCACCACCACACCCAGCTAACTTTTGTATTCTTTGTAGAGATGGGGTTTCACCATTTTTTCCAGGCTAGTCTTGAACTCTTGTCCTCAACTGATCCACCTGCCGCATCCTTCCAAAGTGCTGGGATTACAGGTGTGAGCTACCACACCTGCGAAATAGTTACATTTTGTCAAATGGGCAAATGGGAAGAAGGTGGTAGGTCAGGACAGAAGCCCATGAATTTTATGCTACTTTGAGGCAAAATGCTTTACTTTTTCTAGGTCCATATGTATGGACTGCTAACAACTGCTAAGTTGAAGTTAAATGGACTCTTGTTCTTTAAAAAAAATTTTTTGCTACATCGTCTGCTTATTAATTTGCTTAAAAAAATTTTTTTTTTGAGGGGGTGAAGGACAGGGTATTTTGCTGTTGCTGGAATGCAGTGGCTCGATTTCGGCTCACTGCAGCTTCCCAGGCTCAAGCCATCCTCCCATCTCAGCCTCCTGGGTAGCTGGGACTACAGGCATGCGCCACCACGCCTGGCTTATTTTTAGTAGAGATGGGTTTTTGTATTTTTAGTAGAGATGGGGTTTTGCCATGTTAGCCAGGCAGCTCTTGAACGCCTGGCCTTGTGATCCTCCTGCCTTGTCCTCCCAAAGTGCTGTGATTACAGGTATGAGCCACCATGCTCAGCGTGCTTAAACTGTTTAGTTAAAAAAAAAAGATACAAATGGATAGTCTCAAAACAATATGCTTTAAAGGGTGATTTTCATAGTATGTCAATTACATCTCGAAAAACAAAAGACAAAAAAAAAATAATTCCTCCCCAAAAATGATACAAGAGAAGATTCACCTAAATCTGTTCACAGCTGTCTGCAGAGTGCCTACTGTGTGCTGAGCCTGGGGATACAGGACACGGGCACGTTTGAGAGGGGATTACAGGCCGGGTTTCCACACCCTTTGGTCCTGACAAATGTAGTGGAGCCACCTGGCTTAAGGACTTGGCAGCTGCGCAATGACTGAACAGAGCCTACGTTCGAACCCATGGCTGCAAGACTTACGATCCCCCGATGGGAACTGATGTGGTTCATGGCCCCAGCGAGTACTGAATGAAAACAGAGGGGGTGGCCCCCGAGCACCCGCCGCTCCTGTGTCCCTGCCCAGGCCCGCGACGTTCTCCCGCCCGCGCACAGTGCGCGCAGCGCCGCCCAGCGGGGAGCCCAGCTCGGTGCCAGCGCCCGAGAAGCGGAGTCAGCGGGCGCCTGAGGCGGGACAAGGTTCCTTCCCCCGCAGGGAGGACCGGATGCAAAACCAGCGCGCGCCAGCTGGCCTGCGTCGCGGGCACAGACGCGACAGGCCGGCACCGGGCGGAGCTGCGTTTGGCTGCTGGGCCTGCGGCAGTGGGGCGCGCAGAATCCACCTGGTGGCTAAGGGCCATGGCGACCGCTGAAGCTCCTGGGGGCCTTCGGGGTCCAGACTGCGCCTGTGCTCGCGGGACGGCTGGGCGCTGCCCGCACTGCCTTCGGCTCCGGGCCGACCACGCAGGGAGACTACTGGGTGGCGGTAGCTGGGCGGGGCCGGGTCGGGGGTGGCTGTGGGCTGCGGGCAGGCAGCGCGCGGGGCAGCCCTCGGCGGACAGCCATGGCGGCGGCGCTCTGGGCATGGGGGGCGACGCGGCGCGTGTTGTCAGCGCTCCGAGACCGGAGCCCGGGGCTTGCGGCCATGGTGAGTGTCGAGCGGCCGCGGGGGGCGGGGGCTGGGGGGCAGCGCGAGGCCCGGCGGTGTCGGTTGAGGGGCCAGCGAGGCTGGGGCGGCCGCGGCGTGGGCCGGGTCTTGGGGCTCGGGCGTTGGGTCACCGCGTCCAAGGACCAAGCACCTGCCTGGAGCGCCGCTCAGAGACCGAAGTGTCTGCAGCCTCAGCCACTTGCCTGTTGGCGTAACTTCGGCCGAAGCCTGCGAACTTACCAACCGGAAACAAACGGGAACGAGTTTTGTTCAACCACAAAAGGCAGACGTGAAAAGTAGTTGCAAAAAGATTCGGTGCTCGCCGCCGCTCGCGGTGCTGAGGACTAACGGCGCTGCGGGCCCGGCTTCCTACGGCGGCTCCCTGCTCGCGCTTCACTCCATGGGGAGCCCACTGAGGTTTTGGAGGAGTTATTAATAAATTGTATTTTTTGCTGACATACTGGCTTTTCTTTCGTCTTCCAGGGGGCCTTCAGTCAGTTTTCCTGCTGTAGAAATTCACCATTTGGAGTAAATAGGGGGAAAGTTTTAACATGCAGCACCACCTAGTGGGAAAATAATGTGTTAAACTCACCACGTCATTTTAAGTTGCACTTTAACCACCCTTTTCGGTTTGAAATGTTTGTTTTGTTGTTTTGAGACGGAGTCTCGCTGTGTCGCCGAGCCTGGAGTGCAGTGGCGCGATTTTGGCTCACTGCAACCTCCGCCTCCCATGTTTAAGCTATTCTCCTGCCTCAGCCTCCTGAGTAGCTGGGATTACAGGCGCCCACCACCATGCCCAGCTGATTTTTAAATTTTTATTTTTAGTAGAGACAAGATTTCGCCATGTTGGCTAGGCTGGTCTCGAACTCCTGACCTCAGGTGATCCACCTGCCTCGGCCTCCCAAAATGCTGGATTAAAAGCGTGAGCCATCGCCTCTGGCCTGAAATTCTTTAATAGGAAAAATTTTAAATAGCTCGCAGTTGGAGGAAGATGAGCACTCCGCAGCTTCCTGGCCACGAAGGGGAGAACACAAGTTGAATGCCTACTGTCATCTAGGCGTTTCTCCAGGCACACACTGCTCCAGGTGGTAGAGATACATTAAGATGAGGGTGTTCTGGGAAGGAATGAAACAAAAGACATAATTTGAGCTCTGCCACGTGCCAGGCTCAATGCCAGGTGCTCTCACGTTCAAGATCTGTAAGCCTTTCAAAAAATCTTGGCAGGTAGATATAATATCCCCACTACAGACAGAAGGACCTCAGAATTCAGAAAAGCCATGTTCAGCATCTCACAACTCAAAGTAACAAAGCTAGGCCTTAGATCAAGTTTACTCTCTTCAGATCCTAGTCTGCCTTCACTCCCTGAACAAATTAAGCCCACCACAAGGGGTTCTGCTGCGAACGTGTCCTCATGGGGACCTTTGATGTTAATGTTGATGAAGTGGCTCCATTTCCTATTCCTGGGAATAGTCCCTGCTACTGGGCAGGTGTCTGCTGTGGGCATAAAGTGCGTACGTTGATTTTAGTGGGGATGTGGATGGTCCAGCACTCGGAGAAAACAGCTCAGAGTGTGTTTCACAGACACCAGGTGCCTGCTTCATTACAGACAGCATGTTTAATGGCTTTCTTTGCAGCTACTCAATGTGGACACACATAATTCTGTTTCTTTTCCAAAATCCTCTGAGTTGACAAAATAAGTGTTTAATAAGAATTTTAGATTTCTTATAATTGATATATGTGTGTTTCAGAACTGTCATTGAAAAACTGATGAATGGATATTTTAATTCTTAATAGTAAATGGTTTACTATTTACTATTTATTTATTACTTACTTTTCTTTCTTTTTTTTATAAGGGACAGGGTCTCACTCTGTTGCCCAGGCTGGAGTACAGTGGTGATCATAGCTCACTGTAGCCTCAGACACCTAGTCTCAAGTGATCCTCCCATCTCAGCCTCCCAAGTAGCTGAAACTATGGATGTGCTCCACCACACCCAGCTAATTTTCAGAATTTTTTTGTAGAGCCAAGGTCTCACTGTGTTGCCTAGGCTGGTCTTGAACTCCTGGCCTCAAATGATCCTCCCACCTCATCCTCCCAAAGTACTAGAATTACAGATATGAGCCACTGTCCCTAGCCCTAGTAACCTAGTAAAACATTTTTTTTCTAATATGGAGTCTCTTGCCTAGGCTGGATAGCTGGGATTACAGGCATGCACCACCATGCCCAACTAACCTGTAAATGGTTTTTAATAAAAGCTTTTACATACTTTTGTTTAATTTAAAAGTATCCTCAGCCAGGCATGGTGGCTCACACCTGTAATCCCAGCACTTTGGGAGGCTGAGGTGGGCAGATCCTCTGAGGTAAGGAGTTTGAAACCAGCCCAGCCAACATGGTGAAACCCTGTCTCTCCTAAAAATTCAAAAAATTAGCCAAGCCTGGTGGCATGCGCCTGTAATCACAGCTACTCGAGAGGCTGAGGCAGAAGAATGGCTTGAACCTGGGAGGCAGAGATTGCAGTGAGCTGAGATCACGCCACTGCACTCCAGCCTGGGTGACAGAGCAAGACTTGGTCTCAGAAAAAAAAAGTACTCTCATTATTTCCTTTTGTTAGTTGTGGGGAAGAATAGCTGACCTAGCAAAGACTAGAAAGCTGGTTCCTTAGTATTTTTTTCTTCATCTTCATAGAATAAGTTGTCTAAAGGTAAAATCTTTTTGCTCTCTTAATATTGATGATAAAAGATTTTAGGGTTTCTGAAGTAGGAGTGAGTTGCAGCTTAATGGCAGAGAATCGGGGGAACGCAGCTTAGCCCACAGTTGCCCTTTGATGACGAGCCTTCACATTAGTTCATCTTTCTGGGTGACAGCCTCTCCCTCACCAGAGCCTACAGTAACTCTGCAAGTAGGTAAGGCAGGAAGTATTGCCTGAAATGAGAACTCAGCTTTCCTGACTTCCAGTAGAGTGTCCATCTCGTCTCTCTGGCCCCACTGTTTAAAGTTCTTTTGGTTAAAAAAACCAATAGCATGGGAAGTGTGGGCCTGTTAACCAACAGAACCTGGGTTTGTGAATGTCTTCACCAGAGTGAGTAGAAACAGGGCAGACAGTGCACACAAGCTCTTTGGACTGGGCAGTTCTCTGGCCAAACTATGGAGTTTGTCTTACTGGCGCTCTGAAAAAAGGGTTTCATAAACTCACCCCACTGAGGTCATGGCTTTTTACCTCAAGTCCAAAGGATCTGTGGACCCCCAGAAGTTAGATAAAATCCTATGTAAATGTGCATTTGTTTTTTCCCCTCTGGGGATTGGTTTTCATTAGATGTGACAGGAGATGGTAATTCCAATTCATTAAAACCATCTTTCATTTTTTTGGTTCTCAAAAGACAGACCAAAGTAGCCTAGCTCTGTACAAATAAGCTCCCTCTATGGTATGTTCCCTCTGGCCCCCTCACTGCTGCCTCAGATGTCACAATTCAGCTTCTCTGGCTTATTATAGATAAAACAGTAGCAAAGGCTACTGAGGTGATGCAGGGCCATCCAAAGAGCAATAGACCAGGAGTTTGGAGCCTTGAATTCTAATTCTGGTCCTGCCAATAGACTTGCCACAAGTCCTGGAATGCTGCAGGGTCCAAGATGGCCAGTGGTAATAGTCAATCTTTGTTGTATCTATAATAAACCACAGAAGGGCTGGGTGTGGTCACTCATGCCTGTAATTCCAGCACTTTGGGAAGCTGAGATAGGTGGATCCCTTGAGCTCAGGAGTTCGAGACGAGCCTGAGCAACATGGTGAAACCATGTCGCTACCAAAAATACTAAAAATTAGTTGGGCGTAGTGGTGTGCCCCTGTAGTCCCAGCTACTCCGGAGGCTGAGGTGGGAGGATCGCTTGGGCCCAGGAGGCAGAGGTTGCAGTGAGTTATAATTGCATCACTACACTCCAGCCTGGGTGACAGAGCAAGATCCTGCCTCAAAAAGCCAACCAGCCAACCAGAGAAGCTGAATTGTGAAGTTTGAGGCAGCAGTAAGGGGGCCAGAGGTGACAGATCATGGAGGCAGCTTATTTTTCACAGCACTAGCCTTGCTTTGGTCTCTCTTGTGAGAACAAAAGAATGGAAGATGGTTAGAATTTGTTGTCTTTCAGATTTTTCTATGACTCTGTTTAAGGTAAGGAGCCATAAGTGTGAGTTTGAATAAACTTCTGCATTTTCAGATATGAAATGTGTTCTCTTCATAGTCATCAGGCACTCACAGGTTGACGGCAGAAGAGAGGAATCAAGCTATACTCGACCTTAAAGCAGCAGGATGGTTGGAGTTAAGTGAGAGAGATGCCATCTACAAAGAGTTCTCCTTCCAAAATTTTAATCAGGTAATTGTTATAAATTCTTGCTAGAGCTGTGGTCTATTTTTGTCAACTTAGACTGTAACTTTGTAACTTTTTTTTTTGGACGGAGTTTCACTCTTGTTGCCTAGGCTGGAGTGCAATGGTGTGATCTTGGCTCATTGCAACCTCCGCCTCCTGGGTTCAAGCGATTCTTCTGCCTCAGCCTCCCGAGTAGCTGGGATTACAGGTATACACCACCATGCCCGACTAATTTTTTGTATTTTTAGAAGAGATGGGGTTTCTCCATGTTGGTTAGGCTGGTCTTGAACTCCCAACCTCAGGTGATCCACCTGTCTCGGCCTCCAAAGTGCTGGGATTACAGGTGTGAGCCACCATGTCTGGCCAATTTTTGTATTTTTAGGGGAGATAGGGTTTTGCCATGTTGGCCAGGCTGGTCTTGAACTCCTGACCTCAAATGATCCGCCCACCTCGGCCTCCCAAAGTGCTGGGATTACAGGCATGAGCCAGCGTGCCCGGCCTAGGCTGTAACTCTTTCTGATTCTCCCAGTTGTCTGGTCCCATGTAGATCCAGGATTCAACTCTTCCCTTCTTTAAGAATTCAATGATAGAGTTACATCCTGTTGACAGTTGCAGTCACCCACCTGGGCGATGTTTAGCTCTAGGGAAAGAGGGTGGTTTGTGTTACTTGGAAAACAAATTCTGAAACTACTATTGCTTTGATTTGGTGTTGGTTGGGATATTTAGGGTTTTTTTTTTTTTTTGAAATTTTAAATAACAGTAAAAGACAGTGTAAGCTTTTTATTATTGATTGTTATTTTTTGAGACAGGGCCTTGCTCTGTTGCCCAGGCTGGAGTGCAGTGGTGTGACTGCAACTCACTGCCACCTTGACCTCCTAGGCTCAGGTGATCCTCCCACCTCAGCCTCCTGAGTAGCTGGGACTATATGCATGTGCCACACCTAGCTAATTTTTGTATTGTTTGGAGAGACAGGGTCTGGCCATCTTGCCCAGACTGGTCTCAAATTCCTGGCCTCAAGCCATCCTCCTGCTTTAGCCCCCTAATGTGCATGTAGGTGTGAACCACTGTGCCCAGCCTAAGCTTTTTATATTTATCTGAAGGGGGCATGAGTAAAACTGGCTGAGGAAGATACACCTGCTTGACTTACTTTCCTCTACTTTTTCTGGGCTGTTGGTAATTTTACTTTCTTCCTGCAGTTAAATTTCTAGCTCTAAATCATCTCCCAGGCTGCACCCTTTTATCTGATTGGATTATTTTTCTCCAGCCCAGTAGCCAGATCCTGAACCTTTTCTTAAAACCTGACCTTCCCCTTGGAGAGTCAGCTTTAACAAGGTAACTGTTCCATTAGGGCCCCACCCTGTTTAGAGAGTCATCTCCCATGACTTTCCCTTCAGTTATTACTGCACTGCATTTATATAAGGTAAACGCTTTTGACTGCGTTGTTTGTTCAGTTAGTTTGGTAATCCTTTGGACAGATTTATTGTTTTTATTTATATTGGGTGTTGGAATCTAGAAGTCAGAGATCATGTTTGCTTAAATAACTCTCTATTGTACCTAACACAGTTCTGGGTACAAACAGGCATTTGATAAATGCAGACATTGATTACAGTGTTTGCTGGTTTCTAGAAGGGTGTGTGAGGACCAGATTCGCACCAAAGAAACCCTCGGCATGTTTTCCTAGTAAATGCCGTTGGCTCCACTGAGTTGCATGCCCGATTCTGTTCTCTATCCATCTGGCTGCCAGCCTTCTGCTGTGAGTCCCCAACTCCTAAGGAAATCTGGACCAAGCAGACTCCCTGTCCCCGCTGCCCCACGTGCTCGACAGCTCTTGTCAGGGGCTTAGCGCGCTGCGGCTGGTGGCAGGGAATCCCATTGGTACAGTAAGCCTGTGTATAAGCTCTGGGTAGCATTTTCCAAGCTTATTAAAATTCTTACATGTGTACAGCTTGACTTCTTTAAACCTCGCCTAATTTATTGGGCTTGAACATGTGGCTTAAAGTACTTGAGTGGTGTTGCCTCAGGTCCTGCCCATGAGTCAGTCCTCCAGCACCATTCTGACCTTGTGCTCAGGGTGACTTTCAGTAATGGTAGGGAAGCATACTGGATCAATTGTAACATTATTCACAGGGACATTTAATTAAGTAGATTCTTTTCCCCCTTTCACCCAACTTTGAGGAAAAGAGGCAGATGAACCAACACTGAGATCATATCTGGGGGTCGTCAGTTTTCCTGCCAGGCTCCTATGACTTCTGCCTGTCATGGCTGATGATGGTAACTGATCAGTGCCCTCCAGCGAAGCACAACTAGGAACACACCTACAGTTGAACAAGTTGAGTTTACTGCAGTGAGGGAGAAGGCACACTGAAGGGCACCATGAGGCGCCTCAGGAGACGGTGTTGGGAAGCCAGGAGAGGATTTGGGCTTGTAGTAGTGATTTGGGGACTTTGCTCTGGATTAGATGCTGTCAGGAAGTGGGTACTTCTGTCATTTAGCATTTTAATAAATTATATCTGTAGGGAGAGGAGACCAAAGTGGTGCCGAAGCTGAAATTGAAAAAGATACAACAGTCACTTGTTAGCTGGGAGAGGAGGACGTTAGGTATTTTGTGGCTTGGACAAAGTTCATGTTTTGTCTGTGTTCAGATACTGCGGAGTGGTCTTGCTCTTGTCTTCATCCATCATGGTCAGAGTGGCCTTTTCTGATGTTGATGCTGATGGTGAAAAGGAGAACACCAAGGACTGGCTGATAGTGCCAGGCCAGCGTCCAGGGATTAGGAGCTGCTTTTCTCTTGCTCACAACTGGTGAGTAGGGTAGTGACCCTCCGGCACCGACATGTCTTCATTCATCTTTCATCTAGGACAGAAAAGCCATTTTTTTTTTTAATTGTAACAACAGCACAACATTAAATAGGATGGTGTAAATAAAAAAAATTTCCTATTCCAACTACTTTTATTTTTCTCTGTTATCTTCTGGTCTTTCTCCATGGCTGTATTTGTTTTCCAAGTATGCCAGAGCATGCCAGTTATACATGTGGTTAAGTTTTATTTAATTTTATTTATTTATTATTAGATGGAGTCTTGCTTTGTTGCCCAGACTGGAGTACAGTGGTGCGATCTTGGCTCATTACAACTTCCACCTTACTGGTTCAAGCGATTCTCCTGTCTTAGCCTCCCGAGTAGCTACAGGCGCATGCCACCCGGCTACAGGTGCACACCACCACACCTGGCTAGTTTTTTGTATTTTTAGTAGAGACGGCATTTCACCGTGTTAGCCAGGATGGGCTCAAGCTCCTGACCTTGTGATCCGCCCACCTTGGCCTCCCAAAGTGCTGGGATTACAGGTGTGAGCCACCACACCTGGCCACCATGTGGTTAAATTAAAAAAAAAAAAAAATTTATCATAAAACATTCATTAATTAAACAAACATTTATTAAGCATTTTCTGTATGCTAGATACTATTGTAACCTCATGTAGTTCCCATCCCAGTGGGAAGATAGACAATAAACAGATGACTAGGAAATGTAATTTCAGCTGGTGATGAGTACCATGGAGAATAAAGTAGGGTATTGGAATGGAGAGGGGCGGAGGCACTCTTGGAGGTGGAGTGGTCTGGAAAGGCCTTTCTGGGGAGGGGACCTCTGAGGCCTGAATAATGAGAAGGAGCTCAGCACGTAACAATCTAAGGGAAGAGCTTTCCAGATGGAGAGAACAGCAAGCACAGAGTTCCCGAAGCAGAATGACCTTGGCATGATTGAGCCAGAAGCAGAAGGCCAGTGTCCTGGAGTGGAGAAGGAGATGAGATGAGGGGAAGGGTCAGAGCATGGGGACCTTCTTGGCATGGTGAGGAGTTCAGATTTTATTCTGTGAAGGAAAGCTGCTGGAGCATTTCAGGTGGAGAAGTGTCGTTCTGTGGCTGTGTTCTGAAAAGCCACCCTGCTGTTCTGCTGAGAATAGGTGGTAGGAAGGTCAGAGTGGAAGCAGGCAGACTCTGTTGAACACTGTTGCAGACATCTAGGCCAGAGACGATGGCGGACTTATGGAGGCAGCAGTCGGGGTGGAGAGAAATGTCGGGTTCCTAATATTTTGAAAGTAGAATAATCTAGACTTGCTGAGTGATTGGATGTGGGCAAGGGGAGGGTCAAGGATGGCACTAAGGCTTTGGTTCAAGCTATAGAGTAAAGGGTAGTGCCACTGGTGCCATTTACTGAGCTGGGGAGGATGGGGTGCTCAGATGGATACAAATATTTGGAGATTACAAGTACAGGTTTTTCAAGGGATTCTCCTAGCATAGGTGGATGAAGTAGCTGTAGGTGTCAGTTGCTCTTAGCCTCCTGTTTCCACCCTTGATGGTACATGGGCTCTGCAGTGCATCATGGGTCGGTGGGCAATGTGTTGGTGACAGACGGTGACTGTGAGCAGATAGCATGGCAATGCTGGGACCCGAGGCGGGGAGTTTCCACACTCAGAGCCCTTGGATCCAGACAGGGTGGGGCTGGCATTTGTAAAGGAGCTTTGCTTTTTGTTATTGTTGTTCCCGTAGACAGCAGGTGGGAGAGGTCTGCAAGTGACATATAAACATAAGTGTTTGGTAACTGCAGGGTGTCTGTGTTGAAAGAACAAAATGTCAGGTAGAAATGTGGGTGTGAGTGTCCCATCAAGATAGATTTTGTTATGTGTGACATGTATGGGATGAACTGGAAGCTGACAGAATCTGAGGAATTTTTAAGCTTAAAAGTAGGTGCAGAAAGTGAGGCTTTGGAACCCAGGAAATAGCTACTACAGGTGCTAGCAGGTGGACACCTCCAGGGCAGGAGCCCAGCCAGCCAGGCAGCAATACCCCTCTCTAACCCCAGAAGGCTGTCCCTGTTCTTTCACCCCTGAATACCTGGGCCACACTTGTTCAGCCTGGAAATAAGCTCAGGATCTGGAATGGCTAAGCGGCAGTGGCTGGGCACCTGGGTGAATGATGAATTTTTCGTGTAGGATGAGGAGTTTCCAACGGGTGA